TATATTAGTTCACACCATAAGAATCATCATTTACCTGTTATATCAGATATCCTAAGCAAACTTAGTAAACAGTAGTTGGATATGACCTGAAGGAAGTTTTTACAAAAATATGTGTCGACTTCTTGGAAAAACTGCTAACAAACTAGGTATTCAATATAAATATCTTGGAAAACAACAATTTAAAAAACATCTATCTAAACACGCTTTGTACATTACGATTTCAATTATTTATGAACACCTATACTAGGGTCCAAAGAGCATTGCATGGTAAATGAACTTAGGTAATAACTTTTCAATTATTTACCGATATTGATTGAAAGAGACGTGTCCCAACAGTTCTCCACCATTCCTAAAATTTTGGAACCTACAAAAAAAGCTTAGAGATATGAAAGAACTTCATATAAAAAAATTATTGAGGTTCAAAAATTATTAACTAATGACAAATATGAAAACTACAGGTATATTCCTCGACTAATTTAGAAGATAAAGTTAATATATTTCCGGGCTGGTATATCTATGTATATAAATGTTATTGTTAAATAATTTGACTATCGTTTCAACTAGGAAGAAGTGGTTTGCATCATTAAATTCCTCTTTAAAAGCTCTACAAAATCGTTTTGCATCACACGGAAAAAATTGTGACTAGAAAATTTTACTACAATGTTATAGTAGTAGACTTGTAGAAAAATACTTAACTTTTTGTAGAAAATTTTACTACAATTTATAGTTAAAAACTATTCATTATTGTAGCAATTGAATTGTCGAATAAAATGTTACAACAATAGGAAAGGAATCCACAATGTTTAGTATATTTTACTATTGTTTGTAGAAGTAGAAATTTATTACACTTATCGTAATTACTACTACTAACTTCTGTAAAAATTTGTACAAATAATTTAATTGTCTCTACAAAAAATAGTAATACTTTACATCCCTTCTTATGAAAAAAATTTAATTTTGTTCAAAAATATTCTATAATATTGTAGAAATTCTGTCATGTGAATAAAACAGAATTCTGCTATTGGCCAACGTTTTCTGACGTCGATCATAAATGGCCAGACAGCAGTAGCCGTTCGCCATGTTCACAAAACAAAGCATAGTACATATACGAGTACCTATAACACATTATATATTATAAGCACCGATGCGTTTGAGAAAATTTTAATAATAACTTCTATTAGTGGTAAGTACATTTATTATTGTTTCTGAATAATTTACCTTTAGATAACTAATTTAAATAACCTTAGTTGTGGTCAACGATCGAATGTTGTGCCCAACGATCGAATGTTGTGCCAAGTTCAATGATGTTTTTTTGTCTTAATTGTGACATACCTACTTTCTCATTTTTGTTAGTTATCTGACTTAGTCATTTAATATCCAAATCAGTGTAAAGGTGATAAATATCCCCGTTTTAAGGGTATGAACAGTTCAATAGGTATTAATTTTTATTTCATATTTTTCAGGTACAGAAAAGCCAACTGAGATTGCGGGCGCTATTATTACTGTTATTTATTACATAATGTAATTAAGACTTTGTATCTTTTATATTAAAACAATAAATTGAATATTTTATTAGGGAACATTTTTTCTAGGTTATAATTATAATAATTATAAAATACTACTACAAATTTTATTAAAAATTACTACAATTTGTATGAAGTTTTACTATTTATTGTGTAAAATTTTCGTATTTATTTTCATAAAACGCAATACATTTTTAATATAAATTCATACAATGAATAGCAAAAATTATAACAATTTGTAGAACAATTCTTATGATGCATTTGGATATTTTACTAAATATTGTAGATAATAACTCTACAATACATTCTCTACAAATATTTGGACATTTTTACTACAAATTGTCCCTGTCCCTATTTGTACTATTTATTGTAGAGAAAAATCTACAATTGTAGAAATTTGTTCTACAATTTTTTTTTCGTGCAACAACACTTTTAATTATTGATAACATTCAGATGAGCTCTATCACTTTGATACGTATCTGTAATTTTGAAACATTTCCTTTTTTATTCAATATGTACCTGATCTAGAAATATTTTAATGATTTTTGATCTCAAGAACTTTTCGGCATTATCCTGTTACTAGCTGCTCTAGTCCAGTGACTCGTCATTCCTTTAATTCACAATTATTTTCAGCTTCGAACACCTAGTATCAACAATATACAGTCCACCGTTCATTCCTGGAGTCTTGCTATAAGTCTCAAAGCTCTTCATCTCATCTGTGTTTTCAAAACGCACGGAAAAAATTGTAGAACAAATTTCTACAATTATACAGTTTTTCTCTACAAAAAATAGTACATATAAGGACAGGGACAATTTGTAGTAAAAATATCCATATGCATCATAAGAATTGTTCTACAAATTGTTATAATTTTTGCTAAAAAAAAATGAGAAAGTAGGTATGTTCCATTTAAAAGGAAAAAACATCATCGAACTTGGCATAACATTCGATCGTTGGCCATAACTATTTTTATTAAAATAATCTACTAAGGTTATTTAAATTATTTATCTAAAGGTAAATTATTGAGAAACAATAACAAATGTACTTACCATTAATAGAAGTAATTATTAAAATTTTTTTGAACCATCACTGCTTATAATATAATAATGTGTTATATATGTAGCGAACAGCTACTCTGACAATTTATGGTCGACGTCCGAAAACGTTGGCCAATAGCAGAATTCTGTTTTATTCACAAGACTTAGAATTTCTACAATATTATAGAATATTTTTCAACAAAATTTAATTTTTATTATTAGAAGGGATGCAAAGTATTACTATTTTTTGTAAAGAAGATTACTATTTTTTTTAAAGATAATTATTAATATTTGTACAAATTTTAACAAAAGTTAGTAGTAGTAATTACGATAATTGTAATAAATTTCTACTTCTATAAAATATACTAAACATTGTCGTCTTCTTTTGTATTGTTATAGCATTTTATTCGACTTTAATTTTACCTATAAATTATAGTAAAATTTTCTACAAAACGTTAAGTATATTTCTACAACATTGTAGTAAAATTTTCTAGTCACATTTTTTCCGTGCGATTTTAAAGTTTTTTTGCCACATATAATTTAACCTTGTGTCCATAAAAAAACTAGATCAAAAAAATAATATTATAATTTTCCTTATCTTCAAAACAGAGCGCCTAAAAACATGGATTATACAATTTATGATACTTTTTAATTTTACAAAACACTACATTCTTGAAATTAACTATAAAATGTATTTATTCTTTTATTACACCAGTTTAAGATTAATTCTTATTTGACATGAATCTATTAATGAATTTAAAAATTAATATTGTTACAGCCTTAGGAGCTATGCTGTAATTTGGAAGAAGTATACGCTTAATTTTGATTTTCAATTAAGTCTGCCAGCGAGTAGTTTACAAGATTTATTTGGCAATTAGTTGAAGTATCTAATTTAAGAGCTAGGGAAAACGCAAGGAAAATTAGTGGATACGTTTTAAAAAAGATCGTATAATGTTTTCTGTATAATACAAAGTTATTCCTTCATTTGAAAATAAAAAAGAATTCGAAATATGATAAATTGGTGGCTACCACCTTATAGAGACTGAGCCCCCCTCGATCACACTCGTAGCATAAACGAAACGAGAAAGGATTTGATTTTGATCGAAAGTAATAGCGTTACTTAGGCTAAATCATGTAGAGTATTTTCACATTTCTCGCTCTTGCTTTTAAGAACCATTACATGTCACCTTTTGGGTTTAGAGATTAGGGTTTGCAAATTGTTTGAATAATTTCGGTAAACATATTTAAGGCTTTACCCTTGAGCCAGCTCACGAAAAAATATTAAACCCTTTTACCTCTTCAGTTTGCACATTAAAAATATTTGGTTCCTGTCCGAGTAAAAATGTTTGGTATATTTTCCTCTTAGGCCTGACCAAAAATATTTGGTCCTTTTAACCCTTAAGGTTTAATTCTTGAGACCCTCTTTAGTCTTTAGGCTATAGACTATAGAGTTATATTAATATGTAAATTAACTTTTAAAAAAAAAAAATACTTAATAAATAAAAGAAAAGTTTTAGAAGAAAAATTATTTTAACACATAACATTTTTAATATTAACAAAATAACTAGGTACGTAGTGTTCCCCTGTTTGGTGAAACACTAAATTCTTCGAATAACTGGAAACGAAATTAATTTTGAAAAGTTTATTTTCGAATATATAAAAAAAAAACAATAAACAATAAATATGGTGCATGGAGTTTTGGTTGATGAGTGGATGATTTGACGTGGAAGAAAATCTTGGTTGTTTATTTTGGTTTCTCTGTCTCTGGCCAGCATAGCAGCGGCAGTCCTTTATATATTGTTCCCAATCTTCGGACTACTTGGATCTTCGGATAATCCTGTAAAGAAAAGCATAGCTTAATCAATAACAATGACGTTGTTAAAAAAGAAGAGACCAGATGGTAGTTACTCTAAAAACATTTACATATAACCAAAAAATAAAAATAATGACACAAAACGTCAAACATGAAAGAGCAACTGAAATGTCATAAAAATCATTTGGAAGTTCTTTGTGTGCTCACCAAACGAGGCTTCGATGGCCTCTCTTCCTCCTATGCCCACCCTTGACCAGCAACAGCCCGATCATAGGAGGTTGTCGACGATATTTCAGCCCGCTTTGATGCAGGAGTACGTGCAGAGCCAACAACAGTTGGTAGATCCGCATTTGAAAACAGCTCAGGTTCTACCACCGCAGCGCCAAGAATCTCAATCCGTATCTGCAGAAAATGCAAGTGGTGCTATCCCAACTTATCCCCCATTGGAAACCATCCGCTCTGGCGAAGCGCTTAGCCATAACTAGTAGGATATCAGCTATACTCCAGTCATAACAGACGATTTTCTAGACCAACAAAGAGACGATTCCAGTGGGCAGACATTTGTAAAGTCGATATACGCCGATCCCGCTCCAGTTCAAGACGATTTCCAAGGCATCAAAACTTCCCTAATGGAAAACATCTACCAGAACTTTCGCTGCCGCGAAAGCCTCATCTCTAGCGGTACTGTATCGCGTAAGACTAGCACTATTTTAGAATACACCCCCAAACACACTTACATAATCAATAAGCCTCCCACTCATCTCGAGCAAACTAACGTTAGTTATTTAACTGAAAGTGTCGCCTCAGTACCCGTAGAAATGTTTAGTATTTCTGTAGACTTAGGAACTAAAACCTTAACAGGTAGTCTACCTAGAAGTTCTTTTTCTGATAATACTGATCAAACTGGCGCTTTCAAAGCTGAACTTAACAATAGCTTGCTGCAGAAGGACGCTCCTAAATTTACACCCGTGCCTGAGCAAAAGGTTAATTAGTGTTTGTCATGTCTGTAGATCAGAATTCAGATACTAAAATTGAAGAATAATTGCCTATGGCTGAGACTCCCAAACAGATATTCATTGAAGTGAAGCTCGAGGATGATTGGGTTGAAAAATCATCTTCTCAAGAGATGTAAATCACTAGCGAAAAACTACACGAACTAGTTTTAAGAGTACCGCAAAGAAAAATCTCTAGATTTTTGGTGAGTACCGTATTATCGGGATAGTTAAATCTTCATAAGGATAAAGATTTTGGCCCTGATAATACTCCACCAAATATTCCTGAGAGTATGCATCAAATAGAGAAACCTACAGAAATCCCTCAACACACTGAAGTAAAATCAGTTATTCCTACGAATGTAATTGCTTCTTCAGAACTTTTGAGAAAGAATTCAGCTCCACTGGAACATACAAGAATGGAGCTAGAAAAACCGGAACCTAAAATGAACGGATGTTCTTTAAAAGAAGAAAGCACTTGTGGCAAAGAAGGGCCAGTTCAAATCGACCCCTAACACATAAACACTTTGGAGCAGTTAAAAATTAGTTTGGATAATTTAAAACACAGTAGTCATCCTAAAAAAGATTCAGGAAAATCCCATTCAAAGAAAGTTTCTTCTGATATCGATGTAAGTGTAAAATCATCAGCTGTAGCGCCTCAGCCGTCTCCATCTCAATTTATCACTCAAACATGACCCTCTCAATCTTAGGCAACTGTACAATCGGCACAGCAAAATTATCCTCAAAATGTTATATCTTCACCACCGTTTTAATCTCAAAATCAACATCAAAAACAATTACCACCATCTAATCAAAAAAAAAAACAACAAACCCAAACAACTTTATCTCAGTCGCAACCCCAACAACTCACACAAGCTCCACCACAGTCGGTAGCACAAACTCAGAACGTGCCGCCGACTCAACAAATACCTCAAAGTCACCAACCAGTGCCACAAACTCAGCATCAACCTGTGCAAGTGCCATCTCAACAGCCGTTGCTTCAACCATCGCAACAGCAACAATATACTCAACCTTCTCAACCGCAGCAAACATTGCCTCTACAACCTAAGCAGCAATTACAGACTCAACAACAGTTGGAGTCTCAGCACCAACAAATGTCAACTCAGCAACACCAGTTGCCGACTCAGCATCAACAGATACCGACTCAGCAACACCAGTTGCCAACTCAGCAGCAAGTGACTTCTCAGCAGCAGCAGCAACAGTTTACGCAACAGCAACAATTATCGCAGCAACAACTGTTACCGCATTCGCATCAACAGCATGTACCCCAGCACCAATTGCCTCAACAACAGCAGTCACAGTTGTTGCAACAACATCAACCACAGTCACAGTTGCTCCAGCAACCTCCGTTATCACAATCGCAGCCTCCTTTGCCACAGTAACAACCTTCTTTGCCACAGCAGTAGCCACAGATGCCACAGAAGCAGTCTCAGATACTACTGCAGCAGTCTCAGATGCCACAGCAGCAGTCTTAGATGCCACAGCAGCAGCCTAAGTTGTCACAGCAGCAGCCTCAGATGTCACAGCAGCAGCCTCAAATGGTCCAACACCAACCTCATTTAACCCAAACGCAGTCTACGTTGCCCCATCAAATGTACTGCAGTAGACACAATTAGTGCATCAGCAGCAATTACCTCAGCAACAACCTGTAATAGCAGAAACACAATCTGTGTCGCCACCTCAACAGTATCAACAACAACATCATATATCGCAGGCTTAGCAGCCGTTGCCGCAAACTCAGTTACCACCTTTGAACACCAATCAGCCCCAACTTTCTATTGTAACCAGTATCGCTAATGCGATACCCCAACAAAATTACGTACACGTGTCACTACCGTAGCAGTACGTGAGTACACCCATGCATCATATGAACATAACCAGTGCTTTTTTGTCGCAACAAACTCAACTTGTGATGAGCGGTTCGATTCCAAGTCAGTCAATATCTGTGCTATTGTCATTTTTTCAAAATAAATGCTATTGTTACTTCTATGAATCACTTTTTTTTATAAATTTTTGATAAATAGTAAAATTAATGTTTATTATAATCCCAAAAACACCGAACCAATTATCTGAAAAAAAAAAAAATAAACACAAAATGGGGCCACTGTGACCCGCCTTCACCTACATCACTGTGTAAAAGTGATTTTTTATACTCATAATGTAGTACACTTATTTTACTATGTAACGCTTTATACATTATGAAAAAAGGAGTAAAAAATATAACCCGAAGTTAACCAATTATTATTGCATGTAACATACAGGGTAGCTGTTAAAGATGGAACCAAACCTATAGTGCTTAAACGGTTTAACATATAAAACCTAAAATTTCAGAATTTCAACTAAATACATTTGCGCATATTTTAGCACAAAAATTTTTTTTTTATAATTACAAAATTTTAAGCATGGCCGCCATCTTGATTTTTTAAAATAATATCCTTTCTGTTGTGTTTAAACTCCATGTGTGATACATTTTTGTAATCAGTGTGTTAAACCCTTTCAAATGGTATATCACATGACCTATGTTGCAATTTAAAAAAATCAAGATGGCGGCCATGCTTAAAATTTTGTAATTATAAGAAAAATAATTTTTGGGCTAAAGTATGCGCAAATAATTTAGTTGAAATTCTAAAATTTTGGATTTTGTATGTTGAACCGTTTAAGCACTATAGGTTCCATCTTTAACAGCTACCCTGTATAAAGCACCCATTAACAATCATTTTGTCGATCGACATTTACAAATAACAACCTTAACCTAACAATTCGAAAAGTTATTAACCCCGATTCCGTATTTTGTATGAATGTTTTATGAAACTTGTTCGTAATTGACAGTTTCGTTTATATGTAATAAGAATCGTATCGATCCGATATTGGAAAGATAAAAATAAATTAGCTCGACGTACAAGAAAAAACTATTACAGACATTACCACTCGTTATTCATTTACATATAATACGATGTTTTTTATTCAACAAATTAATGTTCTGTTTTTATTATAAATTGTCCCCGAGTGAATAAAAACTCATCATATTGAACATGCCATAATCAAATATATCGTTAATAACTGTAAACGTCAACTTTAATACTTCGTTTTTTTTATTTGAAACATTCGATCATGTATTAGGATAGATAGTGGAAGTGGAAGTAGTGGGTTTAATGATTATCTAGACGGGGAGAGAGGAAAGGTACATAAACGGAAAACTTGGCAGTATGGATGGGGTTTATTTATTGTTAATTACTATAAATTTACAAAAAAATTACAAAATATGTACAAAAAATGTATTAAAAAAAATTTTTAAAAATTGACAAAAAGTTAAAAAAAAAAATATAAAAAATATACAAAAATTTACAAAGAATTTACAAAAAAATAAGTAAAAAAATGTATAAAAAAAATTATAAAAAAATTATAAAAAAATTTATAAAAAAAATTACAAAAAAATTACAAAAAATTTACAAAAAAATTTACAAAAAATTTACAAAAAAAATTACAAAAAATTTTACAAAAAATTTACAAAAAATTTACAAAAAATTTACAAAAAATTTACAAAAAATTTACAAAAAATTTACAAAAAAAATTACAAAAAATTTACAAAAAATTTACAAAAAAATTTACAAAAAATTTACAAAAAAATTTATAAATAATTTATAAAAAATTTACAAAAAATTTACAAAAAATTTACAAAAAATTTACAAAAAATTTACAAAAATTTACAAAAAATTTACAAAAAATTTACAAAAAATTTACAAAAAATTTACAAAAAATTTACAAAAAATTTACAAAAAATTTACAAAAAATTTACAAAAAATTTACAAAAAATTTACAAAAAATTTACAAAAAAATTACAAAAAATTTACAAAAAATTTACAAAAAATTTACAAAAAATTTACAAAAAATTTACAAAAAATTTACTAAAAATTTACAAAAAATTTACAAAAAATTTACAAAAAATTTACAAAAAATTTACAAAAAATTTACAAAAAATTTACAAAAAATTTACAAAAAATTTACAAAAAATTTACAAAAAATTTACAAAAAATTTACAAAAAATTTACAAAAAAATTTACAAAAAAATTTACAAAAAATTTACAAAAAATTTACAAAAAATTTACAAAAAATTTACAAAAAATTTACAAAAAAATTTACAAAAAATTTACAAAAAATTTACAAAAAAATTTACAAAAAATTTACAAAAAATTTACAAAAAAATTTACAAAAAATTTACAAAAAATTTACAAAAAATTTACAAAAAATTTACAAAAAATTTACAAAAAATTTACAAAAAATTTACAAAAAATTTACAAAAAATTTACAAAAAATTTACAAAAAAATTTACAAAAAATTTACAAAAAATTTACAAAAATTTACAAAAAATTTACAAAAAATTTACAAAAAAATTTACAAAAAATTTACAAAAAATTTACAAAAAAATTTACAAAAATTTTACAAAAAATTTACAAAAAATTTACAAAAAATTTACAAAAAATTTACAAAAAATTTACAAAAAATTTACAAAAAATTTACAAAAAATTTACAAAAAATTTACAAAAAAATTTACAAAAAATTTACAAAAAAATTTACAAAAAATTTACAAAAAATTTACAAAAAATTTACAAAAAATTACAAAAAATTTACAAAAAATTTACAAAAAATTTACAAAAAATTTACAAAAAATTTACAAAAAAATTTACAAAAAATTAACAAAAAATTTACAAAAAATTTACAAAAAATTACAAAAAAATTACAAAAAATTTACAAAAAATTTACAAAAAATTTACGAAAAATTACAAAAAATTTACAAAAGAAATAACAAAAAATTTACAAAAAATTTACAAAAAATTTACAAAAAATTTACAAAAAATTTACAAAAAATTTACAAAAAATTTACAAAAAATTTACAAAAAATTTACAAAAAATTTACAAAAAAATTTACAAAAAATTTACAAAAAATTTACAAAAAAATTTACAAAAAATTTACAAAAAATTAAAAAAAAAATTAAAAAAATTTACAAAAAATTTACAAAAAAATTACAAAAAATTTACAAAAAATTTACAAAAAATTTACAAAAAATTTACAAAAAATTTAACAAAAAATTTACAAAAAATTTACAAAAAATTTACAAAAAATTTACAAAAAATTTACAAAAAATTTACAAAAAATTTACAAAAAATTTACAAAAAATTTACAAAAAATTTACAAAAAATTTACAAAAAATTTACAAAAAATTTACAAAAAATTTACAAAAAATTTACAAAAAATTTACAAAAAATTTACAAAAAATTTACAAAAAATTTACAAAAAATTTACAAAAAATTTACAAAAAATTTACAAAAAATTTACAAAAAAATTTACAAAAAATTTACAAAAAATTTACAAAAAATTTACAAAAAATTTACAAAAAATTTACAAAAAATTTACAAAAAATTTACAAAAAATTTACTAAAAATTTACAAAAAAATTTACAAAAAATTTACAAAAATATTAAGTACTTTACAAAAAATATACAAAAATATGTAAATTATTGCAAGAAATTAGCGAATTTTATGAGCATATGGTAGTGTGAGCCATTTTCAACCAGTCTGGTACTGCTCTCTATATTCCGCTATCGCCAACGCGTCTGTTCGATGTAGTCGTTTCAGTCTACTACGAGAAAGTTCTAAAAACATTAAAAACTGCCAGAAACATGGTTGATTGCTGTATCTAGAACGAGTTGAAACTCCGAGAGACGGGACTTGGGTCGCCACATGTTCATATAATTAGCGCACCTTAGTCGATATTGGTTTAGTTTAAGTTAGATATATAGATAAATATTGTTAATATAAATTAATGTAAGTATTTGAGATATAAATAATGTGGTTTTGAGTACAAATAAATTTAAAGAAAAAAAAGTCCACTAAATATTTATTTTTGTGGTCAAGACTTAGTTTTTATTCTTATTTACAAATAAATTTAGTTAATAAATAAACTAGTGTTTTGGTAAATATAAATTAAAATAAATACTGTTAAAATAAAAGTAAATAAAACAAGAGTAAATATGGCCATCGTATCCATTCGAGTTGTACAGTTATATTTTTTCTACAACTCACTAACGGACAATTTACAAATAAAAAAATATTATAGGTTATTAAGACAAAATAACTAATTTTAAAATAATTTATGACTTTTAATAATTTTTAAAATAAAATAAAAGAAAAAAGTTTATTTTCATTTTTTCCTATCCGAGAATCGAACTCGAGTCTTCCGTATGGAAGGCAAGAACGCTGACTACAGGACCACCTATTCTTTTATATTTTTTTTTGCTTTAATACTCGTAATTAAATTGAACTTCATATAGTTTTATTTAAATTAACAAATTATTTATAATAAAATTATAGACGAAATAAAAAC